TGTGCACAAAACCCCACCAAAAATGAACAAAACAAAACACTGTTAAAGAAGCAAAATGGAGTTACGTTGCACAGCTGCAGCAGGCTCAGATGAGGAAAGAGAAAAAGAAGTGTTTTTCTTCTATGTTTTGGGATCCAGAAGTGGCCTGCCAAAGGAAAGGCTCAATAGCAAAACCAGAATGACTGGCTCTTCAACTTCTCCTCAGCAGTGTGTCCTCTACCCCCCTGCAGATCAGTCATGAGTTTCAATATCATCCTCCCAGCTATGGGGACACTTGCTGGTGCTAAGATGCATCCGATGTTCAGAACCAAGAAGATTCCTTGCTCTTATCCTGGTGCTGTAGACCTAGTTTTAGAGAAAAAAAAACTAATTATAACTTGATAAAACATTCCCTGCACCCAAGAAAGTGAGCAGGGGCATATATACTTATAGCAATCCTGTATTAATAGTCAATTTACACTACAACTGTGTGGGGGAACTTTTGAGACCACTGTTGTGCCCACCTCCCAAATAAGTAGACATATTTGCATTCTTCAGTAATGTTGGTAAAGTCCTGTCTACACTGAGCAAAAGCGTATCATGTTTTAACTTACAGTGGTAGTTCTAATTAGGTCCTCTGACGTGTTGTATCTGTAGTTTAGATGGGCCTGTATGGAGCAGAACCATTTTTCTGACAGAATTAGTTCTAGAACTTTACTTCTTTTCTAGAAAGCCTGGTACATTTTAGGACCCTAGAGACATCTGCAGTTTTTCACCTAGAATATAGGGTGACAGAGGTGGGAGTGGGTGGGGAGAGAGGGGGAGGGACGGGGAAGAAAATACCAAGCAATTTCATCTACAGCATATCAATATTTTAGCCAAGAATGGCTTGTGCTTTCACACAGGGAAAATAAATGACTTTCAGCTTGAGTTTGGTATGAGTTTCTCTGATACTTCCCTTCATAAACGTCAAGGACCAGCCAATAAATGAGCTGTGCAGGGACTTTCACATTATAGCAATGGAATCTGTGGTGCAATTTGGAATTCATCTAGTCTGGAGGGATTTACTTTTTGCTAGAGTTACACCAGCAGAGAGCTCACACTTAGAAACAGACAATACAAAGTATAGAAAAATACATACAAAAAAGCTTACTTGCTAGTTTAGTTATAGCAAAAGCTATAAGCTGAGCACTTGGATGTCCTATTACTTTAAGCACAGTGAGAGAGACAAAGTGGGTGAGGTAATATTTTTGATTGGACCAACTGCTGTTGGTGAAAGAGGGAAGTTTTCAAGCTTCCCAGAGCTCTTCTTCTGGTCTGGGAATGGTACTGAAGAACATCACAGATCAAAACAAGGTGAAAATTGAAAGATGTTTCCCTTTATAGCCATTAGTTGACAGTTATGACCATGAGAAATATTCAGCAGCATTTCTGCTCTGTATTGAGCTATTAATAGTATTGTCTTCCTATTTAGTGCCACAAACTGATCTATTGACGTTTATCACTGGCCTACACAGGTGCACATTCCCTTTTGTCTCTCATGGCATTACACTCACTTAAGCTCAAGCTTTCTTTGGCCGTTAGTCTGTAAAATTTTAACATGGGACAGAAATGGAACCTCTCTTCTGCACATCCTCACATTTCAGGCCTGAGGATGGAGATGGTTCCCTAGGGCTATACTGTCCCATACTGTTTTGATTCTGGGTTGTTGCTTTTTGGGGGAGAGGGGTAGATGATCCCAAGAATGTCCACGAGTAGCTGTTTTCAGAATTTTAAACACACAATGGCAATAATGTCAGAAAAACAGCTTATTTTTAGAATCATCATTCTTAAACCCTAGGCCTGATTTGCCTAAACCTAACTGTATGTGTGTTGGATCAGACTCCCACCTCTTTTTCCCATGAATGTACATAGCTAAACTACTGATGATCAATAGAGCACCTCAGAAGCCAGCTACAAAGTTACTAGTTATTGCTAGTAGAACAGAGGAACAAGATAGTACACCCTCCATCTGAGGATTTCAAAGGAGTTTGAGGGGGCTGTAATTTAGGAAACTGAAGCACAGAAAGGTTTCATAACTGTGACTAGGCCAAGAATAGAACAAATGTAGCTTACAGATGAGCCAAATGCAGCATACGTCTGCCCCCAACCTTTATTAAGAAGGCTACTGGCCCAAGCATGCCAACTTCCAGCTGCCCAGATCTGGACTGAACACAGCATGCTGGGACCTGTGGACCCTGCTGGCCACAATTCCATATTAAAGAGGAAGGTGCTTGTTGTTTGAGCCATTCTATATTTTCTACCAAATTCTCAGTTTCCTTCAGTGAGACAAAGTTTGGGGATCCCCAATTTAAATAATCTGTCTTTAAACCTCACCCTCAGACTGAGGGACTCATTTACAAGATGATATTTCAAGTACTAAGGATTACTAAGAGGCAGTAAAAAAGAATATGGGGAAAGAAGTTAACATGGTTCCAACAGCCTTAAAAACAAAGACATCTGTTTCAGAAGATGTAGGTTTATTGACAGAATTCACTAGCAAGGGACTAATTCACTGACCAGCTCCACCATTTCCACTAGGAATAAATAATCCCTGAGGGTGTGCCTAAACTGCCGACAGAGGGATGTAGATTAGGCACAGCACTATTGCAAATCAAGTGGGGATTTAAATATCCCACGCTTCATTTGAATAGAAATGGCCGCCGCGGCACTTTGCTGGCAAAAAACGGCAGTCTAGATGGGGATCGGTCGACAAGGAAAGCCTTTTCCCATCGATCCCTTATGCCTCGTGCAACGAGGTTTACAGGATCGGTCAGAAAAGGCTTTCTTTGTCAACTGATCCCCGTCTAGACTGCCGCTTTTTGCCGGCAAAGTGCTGCGTCGGAAAAAAGCAGCAGCCATTTCTATTCAAATGAAGCACGGGATATTTAAATCCCCGCTTCATTTGCAATATCAATGTGCCTAATCTACATCCCTCTGTCGGCAGAGGGGTGTAGTTTAGACATACCCTGGGAGTACCAACGGTTCTGGAGGCAACAGAATAAGCATGGACCTACTGTAAAAGTGGGTGGATGAACAAAATGAAGGATGCCTATGCTCCCCTGAGTGCTGTACAGCACTGTTCTGCCACAGACATACTATATCCCAATGCAGAGGAGGAGGAGAGGAGTGCATTGTAAGGGAGGAATTGATGGACCACAAATTCCAGAAGCTATTCCCCAGGACTGGGAAGCAAGGCAGTCATACCTTACAGCAAAGTTGTGACAGTTGGGGAGTAGTTTTCAAATTTAAGATAGGAAGAGGGTTCTGCTTTCTCCTGGGACCCTACCTAAGTGCACAGCCAAGTTGCTGAACCTGCACAAAAGGATTTAGTCCAAGCAAAAGGTTCAAATATGCCTGCTTGGGGTCATGGCTTACTCAATGGCCTCTCTTTACATAGTCAGTGATGTACAGTAAGTGCCATAAGGCTACTCTGTTATAGCCTGATCTAAAGCTTATTGAAGACAATGGAATTACAACAGGGTCAGAGCAGAGATTCAGGGCATAATTATACCATAAGAGTAGCAAGTTGGTTTCCTCCAAACTTCGAACCCTTGGGCTCTTGAAACTTCAGTAGGGCACTATTCACCAAACAGGCAACCACTTTATACTTTATTAAGAGATTTTTTATTTTGCTTAAAGTGTGTTTAAAGAAAACAACTCTAAAGTGGACATTTGTTGACATGTTAATTTTCAGCACAGAATGTAGGGATTAAACTTCTTTTAATTGGCATGAGGCAGCTAACTCCCTCCCCACCATACTAGTAAATGATGTGCAAAACAGAAATTAGTACTTCACTGAACCATTCTCACGGAGCTAGCAATATTCCAAATCACAAATTCCGTGGGTGTTGATAATATACAAATGAATCCCTTCTTCATGACATTAGTTACCTAAGTATTTGGGTATCATCTATTTGTAGTACCAGAGATCTGACCCAGAATGGCAGAATTGCAACAGAGTTGCAGGCTGGTCTCCTCTGGTGATCAGAGAACACTCATTCAACATAATTCAGCATGAAGAATTTTGCAAAAAAAAAAAATTATAATCACATGTGACAGAAACAAGACAAGTGTGCCCACAATAATTATTAGTAAAAGGAGAGTTGCTTAAGTATGTGCATGCCTGTAAAAATGATACCTAAAATGTATGCCAAATGATTTTTCTTGTATTAATAATTCAAAGCTCATGGAATGTGACGCTTGACAAGTATGGAGGTTGATGTTCTTCTTTTTCCCCAAAGAGGTACAAGCAGTGACAGGTAGAGTTCATGTTTTCCTGCCTGTATGCCTCTAGCCCTGTTCTGGATGGACTATCTTTCTGAGAGAAGTTATTGAGACTGCCAGCATGGCTGCCAATTAATGCTAAAAGTCATATGGAACTTATCCACTAGGAATCAATTTTCAGGTAGGGCCCTGAACAGTTGCCAATTGAATAAACTTTGTTGCTGCCAGCTTGAGCTAGATGGAAACTACTGATTTAGAAGTGCAAGGCTCTATATGACTTTACCATGCTCCTGGGCAATCCACTCCTCTTCCTATGCAGGATAAAAAGTAACATAATTATAGTCAATCTATGCTCTCATAATTCTATTGCTTTGGGTTTCTGTATGTGGCTCTGGGGAAGTGCATACATGTGACTCTAGCTCCTTTTGCTCTGCTTGATCTCATGCAGAATGTTGGTCATAAGAGCACTCCCCCATTCCACCCAAGTCAGGCAAAGCTGAAGAAATCAGTTCTAAGTCATGTCCTTTCCAGCAACAAGCAAGCAAGCAAGCAAGCAAGCAAGGTAATTATGATACAACATACTAGTATTGCTTTTCAATGCCTTCACTGAATCAGTACATGACTATATTGAGTCATGATGATGCAAACATTGCAATACAATGTCAGACTGTTGTGTATCATTAGCCATCAACCTGTGTTGCCTGACTCCTTTCTCCCTCCCCCTCTATAAAAGGCTACACCCAATGCTTAATTTGTGCAGGGATGAGTCTCTAGGCTTAGGAATTCACAGCTCCAGTATCTCTGGGCTTTGAGTATCAGTTATGAAAATAAAATAATTGCTTGAGCCCCAGAACCTCTTTAATTACAAATTAAACCCTGGCTATACATCAAACTGGGGACATTCTAGCAAGTCTGCATGATTGTGTTTATAGCACATGGCATTCTGAATAGTAATAGGTAAGTAAAACATCTGTCATTTTGAACCCTGGTGTTGCTGCAAATGGATTAGCTTTCTCATAGGTTCCCCTCTTTTTCAGGAACAGGACGTAGATTAGAAATAATGTTGAGGTTCTCTCCACTGATTTTAATCTTGTATAGTCACCCACACCTATGGAAAGTGGATCTAAAGACTAGCAAATCAGAATTCTCCTCTCATACCAATTGTACCTGAGCACACGTAGGTGTGAGTCAGTGTGTTTCAAGTTCTCTTAAACCAGTATGTGCCAAGCCCTCTGACCAACTTTGAACAGTTGTCAATCTAGTCTTAAAAGAAAAGAGTGAAAGCAATTGGAAGGTTAAAACTACCAGTTTAAAATGAAAAAAAAAATTCACCCAACCTAAAACAAAAACCAATTAGTTGGTAAATTCTTAAATAACTCCCTTTATCATCCTCAGGCAGTAGAATCAATTGCCTGACTTCAAGACTTGGACTGTTGGAATTGATATTTTACTGGATCAGCCCACTAGTCTATCATTGGCAATGGCAATTTACTGGTGCTTCATAGGGAGGTGAACGCCTGTCATTAATGTTATATGCCTAAAACCAAATAATATGGGATACATAATTATTGTTCCCAATCCTTGCAGATTATCAGTTTATAACCTGAAACATGAAAAATTATAGTACTCTTGATCATCTGCAATGCTCCAAATGTTATTAGTGAACATAACATTGTTCAATACTTTTAAGAATCCTCTTATGCTTTTTCTTAATGTCTTGAGGCAACAAGGAGATAAGAACAGCCATATTGAGTCAGACCAAAGATCCATCTAGCCCAGGATCCTGTCCTCCGACAGTGGCCAATGCCGAGTGTCCCCAAGGATTGAAGTGAACAGGTAAACATCAAGTAATCCATCTCCTGTTGCCCATTCCCAGCTTCTGGCAAACAGAGGGTAGGGATACCATCCCTGCCCATCCTGGCTAATAGCCATTGATGGACCTATCCTACATGAACTTATCTAGTTCTTTTTTTGAACCCTGTTATAGTCTTGATGAAGCATAGTTTGACTAAATGTTGCATAAAGGAGGGTTTCTGGCAGAGGTCTGCTGAATTGCAGCAGTTAATATAGGAGACTGAGAGAAAGAATTTTAGCAATTGACTTTTAGCTTAGTTAAAATTGGGTTTTGGTTTCAAGTTATTTTTACTGAAAAAAGATCCGACATAGTGATCATCTGGCATACGTCTTCTCCACCTGTTTTTTCCCCTTCACACACACTAGACAAAGTGAGGGAGTGGCTCATACTCCAGCAAATAGATCAGTCAACCAGAGATATGAACAACCCTCCCTCAGCTGAAATCCAAACAAACATCTCAAGGAAAAGGGAGCTGGAAGACCCTAATATGTCTTTGGTGACATAATTGCATGGAAGAGACTCCAAAAGTAACATATTGTCTGCACTGCTGCTGGTAGATAACAGATCAGATAAACACCAAGCAAAGAAGGAAGAGCAGGACAATACAAACAAGTTCTATGCCTGGACACAATGATAGTGATCACTCATTAGAGCCCTGCCCACAAGCTCACATAAAGATGCTACAAGTAGTGCTAGACTATACTGAAACTGAAGTTCTGCGACAGTAAGGCATCCCTACAGAGAAGCCTGTGTGTCAAGTGGGGTCTGAATTATTCTAAATGAGGCCAGTAGGTGCTCTCATCTCACCAATGAAGTGTGCAGTACAGTAATTATGAAACTGTGTCTCATACAGAGATTTCAGTCTGCAATTTACATGATGCCTATCAGGATCTTTAGAAAGAAAACATTGCATGCTGGGACATGTGGTCTCTTTACATGTTACAGAGGAGGGGGGCTGTAAACTGGTTCTGTTTTACAGGTGCAGAAATCAAGCACTCCTATGTACAGTGAATATGTAAAATTTGGGGCACTTCCTTATGAATTCAATTATTATTTCCAGCAAGATTTTTTTCAAAAAGAACATAATGCTTCTTGTAAATCATTTTGCTGGATCAGGCCATATGCTAGGTGTCCCATTCCTACTGAAAATCAATGGGAATGGGATGTCTAATTCCCTTGTGTCCCTTTGAAAGTCCCGGTATTAGTGGGCAGAAGTCATACCCAGAAAAGTATTTGAAAGATTTGGTTATAGGCTCTGATTTAAGTGCAAGGAATCTATTTAGTCACTGCAAATAATTCCCATTTGTCAAGCCATGGAAATGAGCAAATCATCTTACCCGTGTCAAACCCGAAGCTTGGCACAATGTCCACTGTTCCATGAAAGGCTCCAGCCCATGCTGAGGTAGCACTGGCGACAGTAGTAGGGTCTGTCTTTGTCATATCACACTGTGGAGCAGGAATCCTGGCTGCACGTACTGAAGGCATCAATAGGGATCCATACCGGGGGTCAAGGTGAGAGCTGGGGTGGTGATGATGCACATGTGGATGGGGGTGATGGTGATGCATGTACACATCATGCATGTGCGCATATGAAGGGCTAACCTGAGATGCTAACGGATAATGCCAAGATTCTGATGCGGTAGAGGGAGGAGGTGGGGCAGTCTGATGAAGGCTGTGTCCTGGCCAGCTGCTAGGATCTGCTGTCGGGAAGGTGCCTGGTGCAGTGACTGGGAAGTCAGGGTGGACTCCACTCAAGCATGGCGGAGGTGGAGGTTGATAAGAGCTGGTCCAAAATGAAGCTGGAAAACTGCTCCGTTGACTTGAAATTGTTGAGCTCTCTGGAAAAAAAATATAAATGCTGAAAATAACTCATAGATTAGAACTACCAGTTACAAACAAAAGTAGTGCAGGTGAAGTAGCTTGCCACCAGTTTGAGCTGCACAGGAATGGGTCAGGACCTGTGGAGTAGTCCACATGATGTTCCTTGAATACTTTTTCTGACCTATCCTTCTTTATGATCATCACAAGCCATGGAATCTCAACCAATGATTCTTGCGTCAAGCTTCTTATTTCTGGCTAACTAGAGCAAATCATTCAGAAGGAAGCCAGCCCTCATTTAGAGACTTCATGTGACCAAGTGAGACTCCATCACTACTGCTATATAATAAACTTTTACCAAGGTCAATGGAGGAGATATCTGAAGTAGGGATGTTAAATATCAGTTAATTGAATAGTCGATTAACCTCATGAATTCTTAAGGGATAGTTGACTATTCTATGGTCCCCGGCGGTGGGGCTGGCAGCCAGTGCGCTCTGGACCCACTCCCAAGGAGCCCCTTGACACCCCACGCTGCTGCATCTGTATCAGAGGCAGCAGTGTGAGGTGCCAGGCGGGAGCTAGTCCATGAAGGGAACCAGTTTAAAAATTAGCTCCCCTACCAGGTTGGCTGCCATCCTGCGCTGCTGCCTCTGATACAGACGGACCCTGCACGAGCCAGAAGTGAGCCGGGCTGCCTGTCTGCCTAGCTCCAAATACACTTTAAGTTTGGGGTAGTTGTGGCAGCTTGGGAGGCTCGGCTGGGGGGGGTGTGGGGGGGGGGGAAATGTGTGTAGTCTATAGCATTAATCTATACGCTTTTGCTTATCAGTTAATCGACTATACTATTATATCCCTAGTCTAAAGTAGACATTTGCTACTAGTTCTGTGTATGGAAAATTGCAGGCTAACAGATCTTGTTAAATTGTTTACCTGATTTGTTGGGGTAGATTATGCATAAATCATCTTATGTTACTTCCTTATACAATTGTTGTTACCTTACAATTTTACTAAAAAACAAGATATGTCCCTCAAAAAGCTGCATGCAAAATAAATCCATGTTCATGTTTTGAATCCTCCCTCTGTAAAGTTACCAACAAGAACTTTAATTTGTTACACACCTTTGAGTGAACTCCAGATATAAACAAATTTTAAGAGGACAAGCCATTTAATTGGAAATCTATTCAAAAGTCTGAAATACATTCACAATTGGGGTTCAATTTACACTTAAGGAGAATTTCAATACCATTGTATCACATTTAAAAATTCCCTCTTTCTAAGGAGTGGTTAGTGTTCTTGATGCAGTCACTAACAGGTCTAATCTAATAGCTTTCTAGTAGAAAATTCATGTTTTTAAGTATTATTTAAAAGAACAGATCCAGTTTGAACTCAGGGATTTTTTTGGTCAAAGACTGAAACAGATCAAAATATAGGAGTCCATCCTGTTACGAAGGAACATATTCATAAAAATACTCCATGGAGGAAAAGATACTGGTGAAGTTTTACTTTTCAACAGTCAAGGAATCTTCTTTGCTCCACATAAATTTTCTAACAATACTAATATTAAATTGAAAATGCTCCATTTTTTACAGGAATCTCCAAATACACTTAGGTGAAGGCTTTTTGAAGAATGAATAGCTGCTTACTCTAAACAAAATCAATTTTAAAAATAAAAACTGTAAAATTACTTTGTCTGTCTGTCCCATAAAGACATAGTTATGGGTTGATTCATGATCCATTAGAATACTTCTGTTGACTTCAGTGGTTTTGAACTAAGCCAGTATTAATAATGTTTGCTTCTTGTGTATGAAATAACTTCTGTCATTGGTAATTTACTTTGGCAAACATTATATATACCAAAGCAAAAGTTACCTTCATTCCAAACTACTTTGAATGTTACCGGGCTATTTAGTAAAATATTTTTTTAATGTAATCTTCTTCTAAACCACTTGATATTAGAAAATCATAAAGTGCTTCTGAAATATGACTGATGTAATAAGCCCTACAACACCACTGTTTCATAGGTATTGTCTCCATTTTACAAATGGGCACCCTGAGGTACAAAATTTAAATAATTTGCCTGGAGAGTTTGCAACTGAGCTGGGAACATTTGCCCCACCAGTATATTCTCCCTTGTGACCCACTTGACTCACTCCCAATCCTTCATTCTCATTACTAGATAATACATTCTTATTTTATTCAGTTTATTGCCAGTATTTTGTGGAATACATCCCTGGGTTTGGGTGTGTATTGAAAATACTGTAGTTTTCATTAGTGCTGTTAGAATCCAAATCTGAACCACCCCATAAAAAACAAATAGAACAAACAAACCATACATACACACAACCAAGCAAATATATTTCTGTTTAACTGCTAGGCATCCCTTGCATAATTCAGATTACTAACAATGCCATAAAGACCTTCAACCATTACATTACCAATCTGGCTGAAAACATGATAGGAGAAAAAGTGTTAATATAATTGATTTACAACAGGGACAGGGTAGATCAAATGTTTGATTGTGCAATCCAGTTCCCTTTGAATAAGAACACCAACGGCAGAAGCCGGCTTTTCTTGACAGCCTCTGTTAAAGGCCCAGGAACTGAACGGTGCAGGGAGGTCTCTTGTGGACAAGATGGTCTCTACCACTCAGGGTAGAAACCTGACAGTGAGAAGTTTGCACTCTTTCTGCCTGAGCTCTCACTGTTAAGTGGATAAATAGTAGGACTATCAAGCCAGCATTTTTATGAGCACTATGTAAGCAAATGACACTACCAACAAAAATGTCTATTATACATTCTATGAGCCTTTCAATTGAGCCACAGCCCAAAATAGCACACACGGGAATGTCAGTTTCCATTGTAGTTTAAAGTTGTTCTTTCCCCTAACTTTTGAGAATGAGTGAGCACAACCTATTTTTACAGACACTACAGTGTCAGATACCTATGAAAGAATCTACATCCTAGACAATCATTTGGCCAAGAGAGATGTCAATGTGACCATCTTGTTGTTAACCTGACACTGTCCCTATGGGAAAAAAACAACAAAATTACCACTCAGCTTACATTGGCCTCCGTTAAAAAAAAAAAAAAAAAAAAAAAAACACAAACCATTTGCCAACAGATAAACCACAGTTACCACAATAATTTCCTTTTCTATACTTGAAGCGGGAGGTAACAAGAGGAGTACAATATTTGAGATACCAGAGTGGTAAACTAATGGAAATTGTTAACTTTTTAATGATAGTCATCATGCAACGCATTGCACTGAAAACATTACTCTTCAGTTACTGCTAAACAAGAGAAATTTTCAGTTTTGAAGAATAATAAGAAAAAATACCACTAATCCTAAAAACTTCTTCCAATGTAGTCCATGTCCAAAATTTCAGGGATTTTGAAGAACCTGTGTTATCCAGGTTTCTGAAGGACAAAAATGTTTGACACTAGTGCTAAATTAATTACAGTTCAAACTAATAATTTTTTAAAATAAATTCTTATACCAGGGCTGCAGCTTCAGGGAGGATGTTTAGTATTTTGCATCAATAAGAAAAAGCTTGAATACCTGCCTGAAGTGCAAAACTCAATTCAAGCTTAACAACTAGCACCTCACTCCCATCTTGAAAGTGAATTTCTTAATCCAATTGTTATAACTCATTCAGGATTCAGGAGAAGTAATGCAGGAGGAATCATGTACAATACACTCTACCCACTCCCAAATTCTTCTCTGTATCTTTGCACCAGGCAATTTTTAAATGCACTGCTTATTCCATTTGTTGACCTTTTAAGAGGTTTGTTGACTAAGAAATCAAATGAAACTCCAAACAACCCTTGATTATTATTATTAATGTATCTAGCCTAACAAAGCATCAACTTCCTCCACACAAACGAATATACATTAGCAGAACTAGAGCACATTAACTTTAATGAATGAAATGGTAGACTGAAATATCAGTGTGACTATATTTTTCCTTCTTTCAAACTAACACACTAAGGCTATGTCTACACTGGCAGCTTCTTACGCAAAAACTTACCTGCTGTCTACACTGCACGTGCATTCTTGTGCAAACAAATTTACAGTATAGCATTGTAAAACAGGGCTTCTTCCGGAAGAGTTATTCCTCTCCCCATGAGGAATAAGCCCTCTTGCACAAGAGCTCTTCCACAAGAGGGCAGTGTAGACAGGCAACATGAATTTCTTATGCAAGAAGCTCCTATGGTTAAAATGGCCATCAGAGCTTTCTTGCGCAAGACAGCGTCCACACTACCATGCATGCTCTTGCACAAAAGCAAATCTCTTGCGCAAAAGCACATGCCAGTGTAGACATGCTCCTGTGGAAGACGATTTGCGCAGGAACTCTTCCACAAAACAGTTCTTGCGCAAGAAGCTGCCAGCATAGACGTAGCCTAAGGGTCTGTCTACATAGCAAAGTTATTTCAGGATACCAGAGGTATCCCAAAATAGCTACCCCACATCTTTTGAACATGTCCACGATTTCAAAATATAGAGGATGTGCTATTTCGCCATCCCTGTAAACCTCATTCTACTTGAATGAGGCTTGAAATAGCGCATTATTTTGGAATTTGGCACTGCGTAGACAGCACCAAATGACGAAATAAGTTATTTCGAAAGAGACTTGAAATAAGCTACACAATTTGCACAAATTGCATAGCTTGTTTAGAGTTTCAGGAGCTGTGTAGATGCACCCTAAGACATTAGTTTGGGCATGACAAAAATCCATTTCATTCTAATTTACCTTGAAAAACAAATATGCTACTTATTTCTCTGACTGTAAACTATAGAATTAAAAATACTCTTTTCAGCATTCCACTAGGGCACCTTTACATTAGGTAAACTGGTGCAAAGGGATCAGAAAGGATGCTTACACTTCTGTCCCTCCCCCATTCATGGAATACTTTCAGAGCAGAAGAATCTTTGCCAGAGACAGATTGTGTGGGGTATTCAAGGTCAAGAGTCAGTAATGAATAAGGTATTTTCATGCTAGGTTATTCCTTCCCATCTTTGATTCTTGCTGCCTGCCTATCATTTCCATCTATTCACCCATCATGAAATTCCTTGTTACTTCTACATATTCTGGAGGAAAAGCATATTTCTGCCAAGACTAACTCAGCAAGATTCCAGACATAAAACAGCCTATGTGGTAATGAAACAGATTGACTGAACTAGCTAGACATCATATAGCAAAACTAGTGCTTTTCTTACCTCTCCACAGAGAACTCAGCCCTGCCTTGCTTTTTGAAAGGGCAATTTCTGGGTTGAAGCTGCTGGCTTGGCTCAAAGCTCTTGAGAAGTGTTCATCCACTACTGACCCAATGTCTCCCTGGAAGTAAGTGAAAAGGACACAGCGAGAGTTAAGGTATTCCATCTCAGCGGGCTGGTCTTTCTCATCCTCCTCCTGTTTGCTGGGAAGTGTCACCTCCAGGGATTCTTGCATCTTGTTGTAAACAGCTAACTTCTTCTGGGATTAAAAACAAAACAAAACAAGATGCATCACTAGTGGCAGTTCATAGAAGTGCAACACCCAGTTTCCTTAAGGGACATTACATATCTTTAATGTATACATTGCATAATGTCTTAACAGTAAAGCTGGTAAAAAAAATAGTAACATTTTAATGAACATGTTCATAAAAATAGTGCAAGATGACTAGATGGGGAAACTAAAGTAATCCAAACAAACAAAAGGCCCCATGGATAGGATTCCATATTATGTTGAGGTTGGACTTAATACACCAGAAGACACGGATCCATAAATTAATGGACCAATATTGGTGTGACAGAGGTCAGTTCTAATTGGTGGACAAAATAATGAGGGGATTAATTATGCCACCCACTTTTTCCCTTTCTGGGGTTCAGGAGAGACGTTGGAAACAAATCCCTTCATCCCAGTACATCTCATCCCAGTTCACCTTGACTCAACTCAGCTTCCCAGCGTCTCATCCAAAATCAACTCAACTAACCTTCCTGCACCATATGGCAGAGGAATTAGAACAGGTGGAAGGATTAGGCCTTGCTCTTGTTCAGGGAACCTTGTTTTTTGCCTCTGAGTCCTGAAAGTCATCGTATCATCATGATATCTGGTCCTCAATCCATCACTGAGGATACTGAATTGTCAGCACTACCGAGGTACACAAGATCCTGTTCTCTCTCCCTTGCCTATTGTATTACTTTCTGTCCTGCTGTGGTCTCATGCCATACCCACTTTATCCTATTAATCTACACTGCATATAATACCACTCTGAAACCGCTCTACCCTACTTGTTTGAGGAGAAAGGACCCAACCAGATAGCCTGAGTCCAAGCAACAGGTGTCCCAGTCAACCTGAAAGACTAAAGCATCCATTCCTAACAGACTATCGTCTCAAGGTTCCAGAAATATCAACGAAACCTATATTTCCTCCATCTGTCTCTCTTCTACCTTGTGTCTGTCTAACTGTTAAAAGCATCACACATCAGGACTGAGAATAAAATTTACCTTTCTCTTTCATCAAAGAAATGTGTTAATGAAAATGAGAGATACTTATATTTTGCCTTCAAAACCAGAGAGACTTGAATAGGTTTTGATTGTTTGTTTCATGTAGATCACTCAAATTCAGTTTCAGTATAAATATTTGTTTTACTATTTTGTGGTGGGTTGTTTGATCAATAAACTCTCATGTTTAAAATCAATTCTTCTGGGTGTTTGCCAAGAAACCAAGCAAACCAGGACCTCGGGATGAGGGTGCGGGGGGGAAGAGAACCCTGAACCTACCACTGTTTTAATGTTAGACAATGAAAGGGTTTATAACTCTTCGGGCCCATGACATTAATTCACAGACCACCTATAGAATGAGTACTACTACACGAGTTAAAGTGTCAGAATGTAACCCCTCCCCCTTTTAGAAATTTCATAGCAAAGAGTGATACCACTGATAGTAGAGAAAACCTGTTTTCCACCCCTATTTAGCTTCTATTGCATTTTTCCTTTTACATAACAATTTGTTTAAAATAAAAGATAGGGATAGTGACAATAGTCAAGTCAAAAATCATTAAACATAACTTGAGGGGGGGAAACTTTAACAAGCCCCAAACAATAAATACAGAAACTTTAACAAAAAAATAGTCAAAAGCTTATGAACAACTATTCCCAACTCTTTGCTCCCTCAGATGAAACCAAAATGTCAGAATAAATATGTGTGAAGATCCATTTTGCATGGAACATATTTTTCAGATGTTCCACTTTACAGTAGTTTTCACAGAAAGCAAGCCTTCCACAATCAATACGCTGTAGCAGCAAAAAAACAACTCTAAACAAAGACAAGATTCAGCAACACTGACATGATTAAAGTGCACATGCATCTGTTCTTAGCAGCTTCTTTTTTAAAGTAGAGCTTGACTATTATAATTTAGTTGGCAACATTTTAGCACCATTAATATCTTCTCAAGGTTATGGCTCTTACCTTTTCCTACACATTTGATTCCTAGATAGTTTATGAACTTCCTTCTACATCATAAATCTAACATCATAAGTCATGCTAGATTTATTTAATATTTTATATATACAGAAGCTCCATCTGGCAAACTACAACAGCAATTATAGTTGTGATATTTTTAAAAGGACAGCATTAAATTACTGTGAAATAATGTAGAAACACAAACAATTGCTAGAAAACGTATCTTATGTAAATCAATTCACTACAATCTTCATAACCCAAATACTGCAAATGGAACTAACAAATCTATAAACTTGAAGTCCACAATCCTATAAGAGAGCCAACATACAGCAGAATCCAGTCTTGGATTGTATCATTAAGGTAATGGTTTAATTGACTGAACACTGCATCAATGAAGTAATCAATCAAATTCAGATGGTGTTACACTAAATGATTGTTGGAAATTCAGTTCAAATTAATAGAGGACAAATCTAAGAGATTGCTTATTGGAATTTTGTTCGTTTAGACATAGAGGAACGCATTTTATACCAAACCCTGTCCACATACACACACAAACTGGAGGAGAAAAGACAAATGAAATATGCAGAGGAAAATAGCAAAACTCGGAATGATTTCATTTTAAAAGCTTTACTTTAAAAATTATAAACACAGCTACCTGTGTATGACATAATATCAGACAATTTTTTAAATGGTGGAGTTTGTGCAATAGATGTCATTAATATTTTAAAAAATATTAAACAAGAAATTTCATAAAATGTTTTCCTACTCGGGCAAGATTTTCAAGGAAGTTAATATTTTTGTGTAAGCAAGCACTGAATGATCAGGCCTTATTACCTTTTATGGGGTTATAGAATTTACAATATAATATACATATCTTCTACTTCATACTTGTGAGAACGACATACCATTACACATACTCTAGAAGTGCAGATTAATCTAATTTCTCATTATAAACCAGGCTAGAAGTTTAGGAATTTTTATTTTGTGTCTGTTTTAAACCAACAGAGAAAGATTTATAGATGTCTAACAGATATTTATAAAATAGGGCTGATATCAACCCCAGACCAGGAGTAATGAATAAGCCTAATCCAGACTACGAGACACTTTTGAGTGGACCCTGAAATATTTTATTATCAATATTTTTTTTATTTTCACAAGAGTCTGGACCTTGACAAAAAAAATGACTATCCCTGCCCCAGACCTTAATAAAGTGACTATAGAGCACAGTAGAAGGTGATATATATTGTGGATATATCACGGTTATTTACACTGCAAATGTGCGAATACCTATGGATACACGCAATTATGTAGACACACAGTTTAATATAGCCCCTGGATTGACTTAGTTTTCAGGAAGGAAGTCTTTCAGTGTTCCTATAAAGAGACCGGAGTTCAGGAAATTAAAATTTATCTCCAGAGCTGCTTCTCTGTGCAGGAATGTTCAACTTTCCACAGTCTAAGAATCTGATTCATTTTCCATTTCAAATCCCCGCCCCCCCCCCCATCGCTCTCCAACCCCCTCCAGTTCACAAGAGGAATGATCATAAGTTATTCTAAGCAGTTGTTTCATTCGTTTTCGAAAACACATAATCTTTAGTGTTTCTCTATTTTTTTAAGTCAGCAGTGCTGATTATTTGACAAGTATAAGCTTTTGAGCACAGATTAACATACAATCATTGACAGTCTCAATTAATGGGTCTTGCAAAGTTAAGAGTAGGAGTTCTATGTTAATATAAAATGTTAAGAATTCATTAATTATTCTATTTACCTTTATGAAAAGACTATTGAACAAGTTGGAGTTTTTTTAAAAAATCATATGCTTATGTTATACCACACATGAAAAGCTTTCAGACAATCATAATGCCAGTTATGATCAATCTTTTCTTTACTAAATACAGCACTGTATTGAATAAGAAGCTCTAATGAGATCACTTAATGGTGACAAATTATCTTCCTTTTCAGAGGATATTTCCTTAAACAGAAATCAAATTGTACTCTTCTCATTCAAGCTTCTGTACATGGCAGCTAACTGGTGAGCTGCTTTTTTGGAAGTTAGTACTGTAGTGATCTCCTAGTAATCTCATTTGTGAGCATTTATATTTGCACTAGTGCCTTCAGGTAACTTGCGCCCTCTTTCAATAGAGGGATGCAAATGAAGACATTCAAACTTGCAAATGAAGCCGGGATTTAAATATCCTGTGCTTCATTTGCATAATCATGTTATGGCGTTATTTTGAAATAGCAGTATTTCGAAATACAAAACGCAGTGTAGATGCGGTTACTTCGGGAGAACACCCTTCTTCCGAAATAACCTTTATTCCTCATTAAATGAGATTTAATAGTTATTTCAGAAGAAAGGTATTCTCCCAAAATAACCACATCTACACCGCGTTTTGTGTTTCGAAATAGTGCCATAGTGCAATTATGCAAATGAAGCACAGAATATTTAAATCCTAGCTTCATTTGCAATTTTGAATGTCTTCATTTGCATCCCGCTATCGACAGAGGGCGCAAGTGTAGACATAGCACTGGTGCTCACGGAGGGTATTTCAAACATATGCAAAATTCTTGACCATTGGCTCAATTTGCCTGCCCATATATTTGCCTGTTTTGGTTAAGCTGCTGATACTCACAATCTGCACTAACTCAGTTGCACTTGCACATTTGTCATACCATCTGTTCTGATGTATTTAAGTATAGGCAGATAACACAATAATCATTAGTAAAGTCTAAAACAGGTAGTCTTCTCTTTTAGATGCAATGTCATGCTTTTGACTCTAAGTAATCCCACCCAACATACTTCCAAATTATGCCCAGGTCTCTGATATGCTCATGTAACACTCATAACATCCTTTTCATTTCCTTGACTTCCTATTTGTTTTGGAGATTTATGATCTCTGGAAACTATGTCTCTGTATGGGCCAGAAGGCTGAATTAAAGTTCACTTTAGCACACAAGGAACAAGGGTGGTCAATAAAGAAATTTGGTCTCTGCAGTAACCTGCTATTAAGATTAAGTCATAGACAAGG